TAATTTTGAAACATAATTGATACAAGAGGGAGGAAGCATGCATGTGTTTCTAAGAGGATCATTCGGGAACACTAGATCTTTTCTGTTTTGATGCTATAGCTAACTGCTTACACTTAGTTGACTTCTATTTTAAGAATTCTACTTGAATGTTTCATGCATGCTTTATGGCGCTTTTCCATTACCAGTACCAGCTCGATTCGACTCGGCTCGGCTAGCTTTTCACTCCGTTTTCCATTTTAGACAGTACCGCCACAAATAGTACCCGGTCGTCATAGCGATGCCTTTCGTTCCTCAGGTCCCCATCAAACTCTCGCGGGATCCTCTCTTCGGCAACCAAACAAAGGAAGGCCTGCACCTCCTCGTTTGACCACGGCGTATTCTTCCATAATAATAGTTGTAAGTTTAGTAACTATCTCTGGCCAAGCTATTTAAAAATGGCGGGGTTATTTTGGATACTCCATCTGGCGCGTGCAATAGAGTGCCGAAGTTATGATGTCACTTTGTAGGCCAAAACGCGGAAGTGAGTTAGCATTTTAGCACTTCCGGTTCCCTCGCTCTAAAGTCTATGGGTTTTATGAATGGGTTTTTGCTAAATCACCTGAAATAAGGTCTGTGGTGAACAAAGCCTCTAAATATTTTCACGTTTTAATAAACGACATAAAATACACCAGTTATAACCTGGTTGTGGTTTTCTAAACTTTATTGTGTCTGCTTGTGGTTTTTTTAAACTTTATACAGGCTTCAAAATGCATCAATTTTGGATTAACTTGTAAAGATTATCTTGATAGACAAAACATGTAAGGGTCACAACTCTTTGTTAAACACAGATTTTATTTTTTGCGATTTTCCAAAAGTCTATGGGGAAAATGCATAGCTTTTCGATCGAGGGAACCCATGCGCCGCTAGCTTCCGAGTTGTCCTACAAAGTGATGTCATAACTTCGGCACTCTACGATGACGCAGTGAATAGTGACGATTCTCTGACCAATCAGCAGTCGACATTGTTTTTCACTTCACATTTTAGTATGGCCTCAGCTTGCTCAAAACCTCGCCGGAGGTGATACAAAAAAAAGTACCCGAAAGTAGGTACACGTACAACTTTTACACAGTGAAACCAAACAAAGGCGAGCCGAGTTGAGTCGAGCTAGTATTGTGTAGTGGAAAAGCGCCATTAGTGCATAGATAGCTTGTTTGCGGTTATGAAATACTAGCATTCAAACCTTTGAAAATCAATACATTTGCATGACCAAGCATGCTAATGAAAAAAAATAGTCACTAACTGCAACTTGATTGGACTCAAAATTCAAATACACATCCTTTGTAGATGAACATAACACATCATGCAGACAAAAAAAAGAGAAAAACTAGATCCTTCATCCGACTTCTTATCATCATTGGAACAATGCATGTTCTGGCATGTGTTTTTTTAGTTGTGTATTCCACTTTCCTGTGATTTATTCATTTGTTTGTAGCTGGCCTGATTTATTAGCTGAACACATGGAAAAGTCTCCAATCCACTTCTACATTGAGTCTCTTTAGGATGTGTTTGCTTTGACCATTAAATTTTCTTATGGAGAAACATGACGTAACTACTCCTCTGTGTCTGTTTACTCCTGCTTAAAGGCAGTTTGAACTGTCAGGAGATAAAAATGAATCATGTCGCTAAACAAAAAACAGCTGTTTTTGCTGGATTTACAGTGTATCTATTTTTGTGTGCGGCAGCAACTTTCTAAAAGAAGAGTTAATGCATTGCGCAAACCTATGTCATAAGGGAAAGGAATGGGCAAGCTTACAACTTGAAACCAATCCATGGCTTTCTTATTTGAGGGGTAATGAATTGCTTGAGCAGACGAAGGGGCTCAAAATGATTGAAAATGATGCAAGAAGCAAAGATAAGCGGGCTTAAAAGCGGGTAGACTTGGAACTTGAGTCTGTGTCAAGTTCAAGTGAATTAAAGTAGGATTTGAGAGAGGACCTGTTTCACAGTGCTTCTGCAACCAAAATTATTATTCAAAATGTGTTGCAATAGTGCTTCTCTAGACAATCAGCAGACGCCTGACTAGATTCACTCAACTTTTTTATTCACAATTTGGACCCACAACACAATTTTAAAGCAGGGTGAACTGAATAAAATTTGGCCATTTGCCTCACAAAAAAGAAAACCATTTAAGCAAGAACTAATGGATTATTTTGGTTTGGTGATGTTGTGCGTTTAGGTATGCATTCAAAAGTAGAATCCACAAAGTAACAATTTTAACATGTTTCATATAACATTGATCTACAATTAATCGACAATTAACATTTTTACATAAAGATCACAGATGTAAGAGTATGGGGGATTATTGTTGTTCATTATAACATTTTCAGGGCAATCTTCACCAGTTCTTGATGGAAATCCAGTAGTATTTTTAAGGCAAACTGAGATATAACACGTCCACATTCCCTTGTGACTTCATCTTGAGTACCAAATATTCTGACCTTGCTCTCCATTTGGGTGACCCTGTACCTTCTACAAGGATGCGGTCACATAAGCAGCATTTCTTCAAAAGTTCTCAGGCCAAAAAATCAATAGTGTATTGGGAATCAATCTATAAAGCATCACTCACACAGAGGTTGCTTTCAAACCAAGAATTTTCTGATGGTCAACACAGTAAATTTGTGTAACCAACTTGAATCTGATGTGAAGCCTGCATGTGGAAACGTGTGTGGGTTTTGAATGTGGAGTCTTGCAAAGCAACGGTAAATGTGACCGCACTTTGATAAGGGGTAAATTATGGAGCCTCATGTTGTCAACTAATCCCTAAAGCTGCGGTTGAATTAAAACAATGCCTACACATCAATTAGAAATGAACGATATTTAAATATTAAACAAATATTTGGTTTATCTATACAGATGCACTGGACTGTCTCCTCTCTTCATAAACGGAGAAGAACAAATGTATGAACAATGCATGAATTACCATTTTCTGGGATTTTATCTTATTGATTTTCTTTTGGTTATTGTAGACTAAAGGCTGTAATACACTACACAAATATTTTACAGATTTTTGCCCTGAACAAGTCAATGCTAGTTGCCCAAAGCCAGAGAAAATGTGCAGATATTTGGCAATTGATCAATTTCACAGAAAATTGCATCTTGATCTTTAAACATGATTCAGTCCAGTCGGAGGATATCAGACATGTTTGATATTTTGAGCCGTTTTCAGAATACATTGGTTTAATTTGTCTTGTACCTCATTTTCAATGAGGCGAAGGTTTCTTTGTGAGTTGGTTGTGATCGGAACAATGGGCTTTATGCCCAGCTGCACTACTTCCTGAACTTCAGCCAGCTCCTTGTTTCCTGTCTGCCATTATTGGCCAAATTGATTAAAGGGTTAGTTCACCCAAAAATGAAAATTAAGTCATTAATTACTCACCCCCATGCTGTACCAACCCCGTAAGACCTTCGTTCGTCTTCGGAACACAAATGAAGATATTTTTGATTAAATTTGAGAGCTGTATAACTACCACATTGGCTCCTAAAGGACTGCCTCTTGACGGCCCAGAAAGTCAATGAAGAAAATGTTTAAATATCCCAAGTGACTACCGTGGCTCAACTATATGTTTATCAAGCGACGCGAATACTTTTTGTGCGAAAAAACAAACAAAAATAACGAGTTTATTCGACTATTTCTTTTCTTCCTTGTAGGCCAGAACGAGACTTCCTTAGATTTCCACGACGCATGCGCGAGAATTGCGATCTGAAGTGGTGTAAGCTGATGTGAGCAGATCGCAAATCTCGCGCATGCGTCGTGGAAATCTAAGGAAGTCTCGTTCTGGCCTACAAGGAAGAAAAGAAATAGTCGAATAAACTCGTTATTTTTGTTTGTTTTTTCGCACAAAAAGTATTCGCGTCGCTTGATAAACATATAGTTGAGCCACGGTAGTCACTTGGGATATTTAAACATTTTCTTCATTGACTTTCTGGGCCGTCAAGAGGCAGTCCTTTAGGAGCCAATGTGGTAGTTATACAGCTCTCAAATTTAATCAAAAATATCTTTATTTGTGTTCCGAAGACGAACGAAGGTCTTACGGGGTTGGTACAGCATGGGGGTGAGTAATTAATGACTTAATTTTCATTTTTGGGTGAACTAACCCTTTAATTCAGGTGTACCTGACCTCAGTAGTCATGGCAACAATAATCAGACACACCTGAATTAATCAATTTGGCCAATAATGGCAGACAGGAAACAAGGAGCTGGCTGAAGTTCAGGAAGTAGTGCAGCTGGGCATAAAGCCAATTTGAACGTCTGTGATCCTCAGTTGTTTAGTGTATGATGCCTCATTTTAATCTGAAACCACTCAAAAAGTTGTTTTACCAATTACAAAAAGCCTGATTTCCGTGTAATGTATTCCAGCCAAGGAAATACTGGGGTAAAGTAGCAATTGTAACAATGTGAATGCAATTACTATTCTTTAATTTGACCTTGTAATTGCTCAGAATGTTTTTTCTCAGAATGAATCTTTGTTAATTTCCCTTACAGGAATAGTTCACACAAAAATTTTAATTATCCCATAATTTAAATTTACTGACCCTCAGTCCATCCTATGTGACTTTCTTCTTTCAGACGAACGCAGATTCGAACTCACAGCGATTCGTATGCATTTTATTTTATTTACGACCGCACTCGTACAAATTCGTATGAATTATTGTAAAATATGTATGAAAAAAGTGTGAAATGTCATGAGATCAGACACAAAAAAATCGTGGGTTTAACATCAAAATGTATTGTCTGGTGTTAAAAAGTATGTTTTTATAATGTAACCTTCTCCACCTTGGTCAGTTGAAGGATAATTCATGCAATTTTATAGTATTTATTTGAAAGAATTAAAGAAGATGTCTATCCTTGTATTATTCAGCTGGTTGAGATTGATATGGGATTTTGAAAGTAATTAGTAATTAAATACTTTTTAGAGATTGTAATTAGTACAGTAATCTAATTACACTGTTGAAGAGGTAATTAGTATAGTAATTAATTACTTTTTTTAGAGTAACTTACCCAACACTGATTATACGTCGGGTCAGAGGTCACACTTCTACCAGAACTCAACTCTCTCATTAACACCCGTACAGCCACTGCTGGAAGCTAGGGATTATAGTTTATAAAGTTTTAAATTTGGGCACTATTCTTACAAAAACCCATTGCTGCACTTCGCAAGGCATTTATTAATCCACAGGAGTCGTATGGATTATGTTTATGATGGATGGATGTGGTTTATTCAATTCCATTCCAAAGCTGGCAAGAGCAAGGCTATTATTTAAAATGACTCTGATTGTGTTCGACTGAAAAAAGAAAGTCACATGAATTGAGGGTGAGGGTATGAGCTCTCACCCAGTGTAATTAGTGAAGTAATGAAGGTATAGTTCACCCGAAAATTAAAAATTCTGTCATTCTCACCCTCATATCGTTTTAAACATTACTTACTTTGTTTTTTGTCCAATCAATGGAAGTCAATTGTAACCTAATAAAGCACCTTCCTTTCTGTTCCACAAAAGAAAGAAAGTCATACAGGTTTGTATCGACATGAAAGTAAGTGTGGTGAACAATCCCTTTAAACTCCAACACTCTGACTGAATAGCCTCTCACAGAGTTGTTGTACGGGACGTGCAGGTTCCATTGCGAAACACCATGTCGGAGGCTAAGCACTCCTTTGGAAAGTCCCTTGGGCCACATGTGGTCTGACGCCGTAGGGCGACGGCGCAATAGTCCACCTGCTCGGCATCCATCCCGTTCTCCAGCCAGCGGAAGCAGATGATGCGCTGGAACGAGCGGCGGAAGTTGTCCGACACGAATCCGTAGAGAATGGGGTTGGCGCCGCTGTTGGCGTAGCTCAGAATGACAAATAGCTGAGTCACCATGGGGTCCGGCGGCTTGCAAAACACACTGATCAGCTGCACAATGTAAAACGGCATCCAGCAGACCACGAAAACGGCGACCACCAGCAGCACCATGCGTGTGATCTTCTTTTCAGAGCGCCGGCGCTGCAGCCAGCCCGCTTTGAGGCCCACGGCTCGCATGCGCGCCACAATCAAGCAGTAGCACATGCAAATGGCCGCCACTGGGACCAAAAAACCCAGTAGGAACGTGTAGACCACAAACGCTTCCGACCACAAGGCCTGAGGCCATAGAAAGTTGCAGTCCACTCCACCGTCCTGCGCCGGGACCGTGTCTGCAAATATAATGATGGGCAGAATCACAAGCAGCGAAAGTACCCACACGCAAACGTTGACCACTTTTGCGACGGTCGGGCGACGGTAGCGAGCCGCTTTGATCGGGTGTACCACGGCGATGTAGCGGTCCACGCTCAACACGGTCAGGCAGAAGATGCTCGTGAACATGTTGATGCCGTCCACGCTGAGAACCAAACGACACATGAGCGAGCCGAACGGCCAGTGGTGCACCGCGGCCGAGGTCGCCAGGAACGGGACGCTCAGCATGAAGAGTTCGTCCGCGATGGCGAGATTGAGAATGTAGATGTTGGTGGCCGTCTTCATCTTGGCGTACTTGAGGATGACGTAGATGACCATGGCGTTCCCTGTGACACCGACACAGCACACCAGTGCATAGATGGAGGGGATGATGATCTTGCTAGCGTCAGGTTCAGATTCATAATAGTCATAGTCACTGGTCGAGTTGAAAGGCGGACCGGTTGAGAGCATGAAGCTCTCGCTGCCATTGTATCCAGCAAGCTCCGCCATTTTATATTGTATTGTATTGTGTTTGATATGTTTACCCAAATTGGGCCTCTCAGTTTGAGATTTCCAGTCAATGTCTTAATGGTGTTTTAAAGTCAGACATTCTCAAAATGTTAATGGAATATCTCCAAGAATTGTTTTTGAAGTGTCCTTGAAAATTTTTTTGTGCCAAACCAATAGTCGGGTCCTTATGTCGACCCAGCAGGCTCATCTTCGGTTTTTAAGGGATTCAGCTTCAGAACTGAAGTACTGAGCAGACAAATTGACATCTGAAGGCGAAATTGTTGCATCTGCAAAATTTTAAGTAGGAGCATTCTTCTTCAAATCCCAAGCAAACTTGTGCTCGTCTATGAGAGTGTGCAGGTGTTGAAGGGCACGGCTCACTGAGCATCTTTCAATTTCTCATTCTTGGCAGGGGAAAGGCATTCCAGCTCATTAAAAAGAAATTGAGTCTGTGAATCAAAGTATTACGATGTTACACTCCACGTGGTCTTGCCTCAAGAACAATCTCCCAGTGGAGAATTGATCCACAGCATATTGTTGAATCCAGTTTAGTTCATCTAGAGTTGAAGTTGTTCCATCGTACCATCATATAATCGATGGCTGGAGGAGTTTTAGAGGTCTATCACAGTTTGCTTTCTCTCGTTGATGTTTCTTGCTTCAGGCGTCATTAAGACCTATAAAAAGAAAAACCTTGTTAGTTAAAGGCACTGATGCTCACTCAAAAAAAAAAAAAAACAGATAGCATTTGTTGAGGTTTACACTTCGAACAAAAATAATTATTTGCCAGATATTCACCAGGATTATTTGAAATTTTGGTCCACGACATTCTGCTAGCTAACTTTGCAACTACATGTCAACTAGCTGTAGACTGCTATCTACACTTTATTTTGAGACATTCTACTCACTATAAGTTACTTTGCAACATGTAGTCTAAGTCGAACCCTAACCTAACAGTCTACAAATACTCTAATCAGAGTGTGCTGACATGTAGTTGCAAAGTTACTCACAGTTAGTAGAAAGCCTAAAGTGAACTATCGAAATACACTCTCAGAAAAAAGGTACAAAAGCTTTCACTGGGACCGTACCTTTTCAAAAGGTACATTTTTGTCCATTTTAGGTGCTAATATGTACATTTTAGGTGTTAATATGTACAATTCAGGTGCTAATATGTACATTTTAGGTGCTAATATGTACATTTCAGCTGCTAATATGTACATTTTAGGTGCTAATATGTACATTTCAGGTGCTAATATGTACATTTTAGGTGCTAATATGTACTTTTCATCTGCTAATATGTAAATTTTAAGTGCTAATATGTACATTTTGGGTGCTAATATGTACATTTTAGGTGCTAACATGTACATTTTAATTGTTAATATGTACATTTTAGGTGCTGATATGTACATTTCATGAATATGTCCATATTAGGTGCTAATATGTACATTTCGTCTGCTAATATGTAAATTTTAGGGGCTAATATGTACATTCCAGGTGCTAACATGTACATTTTAATTGTTAATATGTACATTTTAGGTGTTGATATGTACATTTCATGAGCTAATATGTCCATTTTAGGTGCTAATGTACCACTAAGGTACCAATATGCAGCCTTTGGGTACAAACGTGTACCTTTTGAAAAGGTACAGCCCCAGTGACAGCTTTTGTACCTTTTTTCTGAGAGTGTAAAGTGTAATGAAATACATTTTAGTAATTTATCTTATTTAAGGCATTTGAATGGAAAAGATTTGAGAAAAATAGAATTCGGTTTTGAGACATCAGTTCATCCATGTCTGACTGTGTGTGTCTATATTTCTATGGTTATAAAATGGATTCAGAAATTAGAAGTAAGATATACTTGTCATCCTCGTGATTATGGATGTATGAGTATGTGTGAAGGCTCTCTCAGCTCTGTTCAATTACAAGACATGAAGATGCCAAGACACCTTTGACATCAGTCTGTTTGCTCACAAAGAGCAAACATCCTGCGGTAGGACTCGGCCATGGCGGTGCCAACTAAATGAGAAAGTAATGAAAAGGAGAGGAGAGACTGCACAAACCCCTGCTCCTCCTCACAGCTCAAGCTGTGCAGCTCCTGCCCCTGATCATCCACAAGGCAAATGCAGTGTTAAGCACAAATCTGGCAAGCCAATAAATGGTTGGAATACAAATGGTTTTGTAATGTATAAAAACAGCTAATGCTGAAGAAAACAATTGTATTATTGCTTGTAACAATCCATGCCGCGGTGTGTTTTTCATTTCAAGCCATTTCTAAACCAAAATAGGTCTAAATTGCACTTGTATTTTTAGCCCGAACATTTTTTTTTCTTTCGAAAATTGACCACTCAGGTAATTTCCTCAAATTTCCTCATTTTTTGCTTTCAATATTTTTCTGTTTTCGAAAAAACGTACCTGTATACGCAGACTTTGTGACATTAAATTCTGCCCCCTGTTTATTATAGTGAACCTGCTCTGTATTGTAAATGCTATTATATGTTAACAAATGTGACATGACTCAATGTGTTTTTCAATTCAAAGGAATCTAAAGGCTTAATGCACATATTTATATGTATCATAATAGCGGCTTCTTGTTTACAGAGAATTCTATGGGTCACCATACAGATATAATCCGATAAGCGCGCACACACACACAAAAAAAGATTCTGTCCTTTAAGTTAAGTGCTTTTACTTAACCGTTATTTATTAAATGCAGGAGAAAGAGAAAATACATTATTTACAAACCATTTCAGAGCTCTGTAGAGCATTCACTGCGGTGTATCCACCTGCTGCTCATGCCAAAGCAAGAGCCTTTTCAAGAAGCAATGGACATTTCATGTGTTTTTTTTGGTCATATAGGTGTGAAGTAGTGCTAGAAGGCTTAAAGAAGCATGGGGTAGAATAGAAATGAGGATGGATCTAAAGCGAGGATGAACAAAGAAAGGAAATTGTGATGGGGATATGGACAGTGAGCAGATACAGATACACAAACATTGAGAAGCAGGAGCAGAGAGGATGGTGAAATAAAAAAGAAGGACTGTGAAAGAGGAGCAGGTCACAGGTGGACCGTCTCACACCCAGAACCAAGTGTGAGTTAAGACATACTGGAGGAGCTCATGATGAAAGATAGAGAGGAAGATCAAGGGAGTGAAAAAGAGGGAAAGAGAACAAGTGAGAATGGGTTCACAGTGAGAGGGAAACTCCACCACTGCTCTCTGACGTTTTCCTCAAGCTGCAGTCTCTCTCTCTCTCTCTCTCTCTCTCTCTCTCTCTCTCTCTCTCTCTCTCTCTCTCTCTCTCTCTGAGGTGACAGTAATGATCAAAAATCTAGTTTAAAAGTGCAAAGTACTTAGAAATATATAAAGAAATATATCATTTTAAAAATGTATACCATTTTTACCAAGCTTTTTTTGATTTAATGTCAAAAATGTCAAGTGATGCCTCCATTGCCATAACCTACACTTTAAAACATTATTGTTGGTTTAACTTAAAAAAATGAAGTAACCTGGTTGCCTTAATTTTAAGTTCATTGATATGGACAAATTGAGTTAATAGAATGAAGGAGATTGATTTAATCATCAGAAACTCAAAATATTATGTTATCTGAACTACATAAATTATTCTCTTTTTTCTGCAGCTTTGATTCATTTTTAAATATATCAGATTGGTTATAATGAGCATAGTTTACCTTTTGTCCATACATTTTCAGTTTTCAAAACTGTCCAAATATATTGATGGTTTCTTTATAAGCAATAGCTTCAGATTAAATCACAGCAATGGACCATGATTTGTTACTTTCTAATTCTTGCATCTGTAGCATAGTGCTTGAATGGATATTGAAATTAATTGTTATTTGTTTGTTTGCTTTTTTTACTGAAGGGAAAGAGGGAAACACTTGTTTGTGTTCAATGTTGTTATGTTTGACATTTAAACGAGTTTCTGTATTGTTAAAATGTTTGTGGTAATCATTGTGCTGAAGAGTTTGACAACATGAAGGTAATCTCATAAGCAATGTTTGTCTTAAAGGAGTAGTTCACTTATAAAAAAAAAACTTTTGCTGATAATTTACTCACCCCCATGTCATCTAAGATGTCCATGTCTTTCTTTCTTCAGTCGAAAAGAAATTAAGGTTTTAGATGAAAACATTCCAGGATTTTTCTCCATATAATGGACTTCAATGGGAACCAAACGGTTCAAGGTCCAAAAGACAGTTTCAGTGCAAACTACAAACTGTTCAAAGGGCTTTAAACGATTCCAGACGATGAATAAGGGTCTTATCTGAAACGCTCGGCCATTTAAAAAAAAAAAAGTTTAAGTTGTATAAGCACAAATGCTCGCCTTGCTCTGTTCTGTGATGCGTGTTCGTGACTCTCCTGTTCGAACTCGTTCATCAAAATGCACTGAAACTGTCTTTTGGACTTTGAACCATTTGGTTCCCATTGAAGTCCATTATATGGAGAAAAATCCTGGAATGTTTTCATCAAAAACCTTAATTTCTTTTCGACTGAAGAAAGAAAGACATGGATATCTTGGATGACATGGGGGTGAGTAAATGATCAGCAAAAGTTTTTTTTAAAGCGAACTACTCCTTTAATGCCAGTGACAACAAGTAATATCTTTGTTAAATTAGTTACATGTGCTATTATAGCGAAATGGATAAGACTGGTTCCAGGCCTACAATTCCAATCATAGCGACTTAACATTTTTGAGAAATCAACTTAAATATTTGTGTAGACTAGCCTATATGTTTTAAATTGAGTTCCTCTAACTCAGTGTAGTTTGTTGGTTGAACACAATTCGTTTTGAAGTTGTCACAACTCAAAAAAAATGATGCAAACGGATACAACAAGCGTTGTTTGAAAAGCCAATCAAAGTGCCTACTCAAAGCAATAAACACTTTGAAAGAGTAGAAATATCTGAGTTTGATATTTTATCTAATGTGATTTTGCAAACCAGTCTGTATAAAATTAGATTTCGCAGTGAATATAAAGTGAAAATTATATGGAAAACAATGCAAATTGGTTTCAAGGGTTGTTATTGCAATTAATATTTGTAAAGCCTAATTTACAAATGCATCCTATGTGTGTCATCCTCCCACAAATGCACCGTGTTTTTCCAAGAATGTGACATTAGTTGAAACACTAATATGGACGTATAAAGGGTCTGAATACAATGCTTTTAGCACCTCTTACTGAACTCAAAGCATTTGGATAAAACAAGAGCGAGTGGCTGTAGTGAACAGGCGACACACACTCTTAAAGTAGGTAAAATGGTGGTGACGTGTATTTTTCTGGTGTGTCCGTTTCATTTTAGACTAAAAGGGCCATAAACAAAGACAGTGCTTCAGACCTTCACGGTTGGCTCCCGTTAATCCAAAGTGTGCGTGAAGGACATCTATAAAAACACATGTTTATCTGTTTTATCATATGAAAAAAAAAAAAAACCTAGCCCTGAATTGGACTGCTTATAAAATTATTAGAAGACGATCTGACGTGCATATTTATAAATGATGCTGGAAGCCAACATTTTGCCCATTTTTTTCCATGTCAAAGGTCTGCGTCTTTTCTTCTCTGAGGTTTTGTATTGTGATCTTATGATATTACTTTTTTCTTGTCTTTTGACATTTGAATGCAATTTCCACACTCTCCTAATTATTATTACGATTATAGAAACAATTTTGGGCAATTTGTGGCGCAAATGTGGAAAAGAGGAACAAAAGGAGAGCATTGGCCGTCACGTGTTATCGTGTCGCTTATTTGCAGCATTTGACCATGAGTGAGTCTGGAACCGCGAGATGCATGGGGGAATATTAAAAGCCCACCTCTGTGTTTGTACCCCTGTCACGTCTGTGTTGTACAGTGCCTCATGCTGACACACAGCACTCGACTCTTACTGTCTGTATGAGGGAGTGTGTTTTGTTCATTTAGTGTACAGCTACAAGAGAAAACGAGAGTGATCGATCAAACCACATGCTGATGCGCATTTAAAACATTTATTAAGAAAACTCACAGTCTCCACCTTGTGGCGACATCAGGAGGTCTGGACTGTATTGCAAAAGTCATACAAAACAAGTCAGTTGCTGTGTACATTTACTGACATAACGTGAAATTATCAATATATTGTTTTTAATAATGTTACTTCCAAATTGTATCTTCACTGTGGATTGAACTACAGTATATGTGACTTAAAATAGGTATTGCTGGTTGACTTTTTGTACATTGATATATATATATATATATATATATATATATATATATATATCACACACATACTGACGTTTAAAAGTTTGGCATCTCTAAGGTTTTCAATGGTTTTAAAATAACTATCTTCTATTCACCAAAGCTGCATTTATTTGATTTAAAAACATTAATATTGTGAAATATTATGACAATTAAAAATTACTGGTTTCTATTTAAATGAATTTTAAAATGTAATTTATTCCTGTGAATTATTCCTATTTCCAGCATCATTACTCCAGTCTTCAGGGTCACGTGATCCTTCAGAAATCGTTCTGATATGCTGATTTGATGCTCAAAAACATTCATTATTATCAATCTTGAAAACTTGTGTACAATTTAGTTTTTCCGGATTCTTTGATGAATAGAAAGATCTATTTCATTTATTTGAAATAAAACTTTTTTGTAACATTATAAATGTCTTTACTGTAACAAAAAAACATATAAAAAAAATCTTACTTACCCCAAACTTTTGAACAGTGTATAATAATACAAAAGCTTTCTATTTTACGATAAGTATACTGTTCTTTTGAATATATATATATATATATATATATATATATATATATATATACACACATTACACACACACACAATAGATATATATACACAATATATATATATATATATATATATTCAAAAGAACAGTATACTTATCGTAAAATAGAAAGCTTTTGTATTATTATACACTGTTCAAAAGTTTGGGGTAAGTAAGATTTTTTTATATGTTTTATATATATATATATATATATATATATATATATACTGTATATATATTGTGTATATATATCTATTGTGTGTGTGTGTATATATATATATATATATATATATGTGTATATATGTATATGTGTGTTTATTTAATATTATAGCTATTATATACATAATATTAAATGTAATCATATAAATTGTTGTTAAATTTAGTTATATCATGTATATATGACCATGTACATGTAACCTCACAACAACAATAATAATAATTGTATTTACAATAGATGGCTGGATGGATGGATGGATGGATGGATGGATAGATACGGATGTTTCACCAGATTGTTGTCCTTGTAACAGATGATTAATGTGATTCACGGAGATCAGGAACTTCACTGCTTTGTTTTAATGCTTGGACATGATTTCCATTTTCACCTTATCGTTCCTTGTAACAGCAGAAGAGGTCGATGTGCGCCAGTAGTTTGTACACAGACAGTCATTCAGTGTAATGAGACTCTTAGTTCATCAGGTCAGCCAGAACTCCTGTGGTTCATTCATTGGACACACACATTTCTAATTTCATGCTTCCTTTAGGCAGCAGCTGATATTTATTAGTTAGCTTTCAAGTACACACTAATAATTATATGCAACAATTATAATCACTTTATTGCAAACTTGTTCCTAAACTACCAACTGTGTCAAATGAGCTCAAGTGAAGTTTGAGCATATCTGACAGTTAAGCGAAATCACTCGACATTACTATTCTAAATCAACCACTGAAATTGACACAAGAACTGATTTCAAAGTTGTTTTTTGTTTTAAATATACTGATTTATGGTTGAATTTACACTAATAGCTTTGGGAATATTATAAGTGATTTAAAGTGAGTGTCTGTATTCATAATAGTAATATAACGTGTAGTAATAATATGTTTCAATTTCCTTTAAAGTCTTCCAGACAAGTATTTACAAGAGATCAGCAACTTCATGATCAGGCTTTAATCACATTATTACTACTAATACACACTTTAGAAATAAAGCTTCCAAAAGACAGGTTTTGCAGTGATGTCATCAAAGAACCTCTCAGCAAACAGTTCTTAAAAAAACCCTAAAGAATCAGAAGACCGTAGAAAAGGTTCCATGGATATTAATGGTTCTTTATGGAACCATCAATGACAATAAAGGAGGATATTTGTTTTTACACAGATCTTGGTGATTCACAACAATGCAAGAGGGTTTGACTGAAATGACTACTTCAGATTAAAACGCAGGACTGTATAAGCAGATTAAAATAATCTTGAATAATATCTCGCTCATCTTCACAGTGACAAAGTGTTAAACCCCGCAGAACGTGTCACAAGTGAGTCAGTTCACAAGTGAATCCGTGTAATAACAGACACTTTAATATCACACTGTAAAAATGAATATGCTTTATCTAATCAATAGAATTGTGGCAACAGATTACAAGCAAAATTATTAATTAAATTTAACAAATTAGAATTGAGTAATAATTAATCAAATTATTCCTTAAAAGTTAAGTTTACATCAAAAAATGTAACCAAAATATCTCACTATCAGACAGACGTCAAAGATTAATTAAGAACTCTTTATTTTATATTGCCAACACTGAAGACACCTGATGTTAAGGAGAAAAACATAATTTTAAAACAAACACCGATCACCATAATGGTGACTTAAATTTATGTTGTTGTTTTTTTGTTATTGTTAAAAGTTAACCATTTAAAATGAGTAAAACTTACAAGGAATTTATTGATTAATTTATTACTCAATTCTAATTTGTTAAATTTAATTAATAATATTGCTTGTATTGTAATCTGTTGCCACATTTTTTTTATTAAATAAAGCATATTCATTTTTACAGTGCAATGCTATAGATCCAGTATATGAGTTAAGAGAAACATTTCTGGTACCATTTGTTATTTAGAGGTACTGATGAAGACAATAAAGGTTAGGAAACATTAGAAAATATACATTGTGTTTCCAGGTGAGTGTGAATGCGTTTGCATGAATAAAGGAAACTGCTCGCTCTCTCTCCCCTCATACACACGTCTAAAACATCGTGTCCTCCTATATTGTTCTCATATCAGTCCGTCAGTATTGTTCAAGTGTTTTTTCCCTCGCATGCAAGTCATTGAATGATCAAATCAGTACTAAATTGTGTAAATTATGGATAGTTAACTCCATTTAAAGTAGATGGATATAGTATAGAGATGAAGTAGTTCTTTACCTGTTGTGATCCTGATGAGTGAGCTGCTGATGTGTCAGTCTGTTGGAGCAGGTTGTTCAGTATCGTCCTCATGAAGCTGAAGCATCTTCTCGTCTCCAGCTCTTTCATCCGTCCAACCCTCTATTGCCTTTCTGTCTCACTCATTCTGCCTCTTATTCTCTCCCTGCCTCCTTCTGTCTGTCTCTCTCCCTTGTTCATGCGATGCCTTCACATATTCTCCTTGATTCAGTGGTTGTGCTCTCTCTCCGTCTGTGTCTTCTCTCTCTCTATCCTCCCTCTAATCTCTCTGTCTCATTACATAGACATTTATTCTATTTTCAGGACAAACAGCAAACTCTCCTTTCTTTTTGCTCTATCCGTATCTGTCCAGATTCATTGTTTGATTGATCGTCTACCTTCACCTAAAACCTATTGTGCCAAGGTGCATTAAAACCCAATTATCTGAACACTTCAAACTATCCTTTTCACTCTAAAAAATGCTGGGTTGTTTCAACCCAATTTTGGGTAAAATATGGACAAACCCAAATGTTGGGTTAAAAATGTAATTTAAAAAATAACCCAATGGCTGGGTATGTCCATACTTTACCCAAAATTGGGTTGAAACAACCCAGCATTTTTTAGAGCGTATTAATGATTGATAAATGTTCTTTTGGTTGTCTTCAGGGTGTAAGAAAACGGATCGAGATAATGACAGTGGGCGGCTGATACTGAACTGTGAAAATAGTCTTTTCTGTCAAAATTATATTGTTCGGTGCCAGGGTTTCGTGTCAGTGTTTTATTTTCATTTGCAAGTTTACTCTTACAGGAACACACACTAAAAGTGGTCATATGATAGCAAAACAAACAGACTACTTGTTCGCATTTTGTGCATCATACACAGCCCATTCTCACCCCCAAGGCGTCACTTAACTGACGCCTTGGGAAGCATTTGGACATGCTTCAATATCTGACGCTTTAGGCGCCCTTTAGCGTCAGTCAGATGACGCCCTAGGATCGCGTGTACCCTACCCCCACCCCACACCTAAACCTAACCGCGTCCTCTAACTGACGCTTTCCTTTAGCGTCAGTTAGATGACGCCGTAGGATCGCGTCATGTAAGTGACACTAAAGGGCGCCTAAAACGTCAAATATTGAAGCATGGTCAAAGGTGACGCCTTGGGGTGAGAATGTGTTGTCATACATGCGAGAACCAATGCTCATTAATGGAATTTGTGTTGTTGAGTGAATCATATCCTATTTTAAATACTTTGACTAAGACAATAATTGAAATAAAGTACACTTTAAAAAAATGCTGGGTTGTTTTAACCCATATTTGGGTCAAATATGGACAAACTCAAACATTGGGTTAAATTTCATTTAAAAATGTAACCCAATGGCTGGGTTTGTCCATATTTGACCCAAAATTGGGTTAAAACAACCCAGCATTTTTTAGTGTACAAGTACAAGTTTTATACAGGTCTGTTGCTTTGATTCTGAATCTAATGTTCATAAAACATTAAACAGAATTTTAACTAATCATAATTTGGAGGTAATTTCATTTTTGTGCTTCAAAGATCTTTTCTGTCCACATTTAGAGCATGATTGAGTGTAAATGAAAAGCAGCTTAAGAAAAAACACTTACCTTCCACTGTCTGAATTTACAGAAGAAGAAATAAATCATAACTCAAGATATAAAACGGCTTTCATATCCATTTAAAATGATTGAACGCTATGTGATGTTGCATTAAAAATGAATGACTGATGTAAAGCACAGGTTTAATGGGGTATATTGTCATAATGAAGTTATGTTTTTAATAAATAGCTACAATTCATCATTTATTCATGAAATAATTCTTGGCATATTTGTACATATTTTTCTTGACACACATTAATGTCTTAGAGATATATAGCATTATCAGAGCAGCGCCCAGGTTGGACGAAGCATGGACTTACTGAAATAATAAAAGCAAATGCATTAGATTATGCTCGACGATAACCTTTCAGAATTCATAGAAATGCCTGAAAATGTGTAGGATTTATGATTGTGCCTAGATACTTTAACCAAATCTGCATTAGACCAGTAGAGACAGAGTGGTACAAATACATATATTAATTCAGGAGATTTTCTCAGATGAATTTTCATTTTGTGCCGTTGAAGATTATATTTTTGGATGCATTATTGTTGTTTTTTTCCTGCTGTCATCAGTGTGTTTAACATCAGTCAGCTCTTGTGCTCAATCCCCTTCAGTCGAATGAATCTGTCATAGGCTATAATTGAAGAATGCCAGTTCAGAACAAGAATACTGTCTTTCTCATGACGCCGATACCCTTGTGGCTGATTGGATTTTATTACCAATTTCAGATAAACTCTTGTCATCCATTCAGTATTCATCATATAACTTCGTAAACAACCTCAATTCATTCTTATTTCTACAAATAGCGTATCTTACTGGAAATGCCACGAGCATTAAGCAAATATAATGCTTTTCTTTGGAAAACTGGGAGAAAGGATTGGTATTGCTTTACATATGCACTGTATATTGACAAATGGTTTGGTTTGGTTTGTCCATATTTGACCCAAACATAGGTCCTCAGTGAGATTGTGTAGAAAGAGACCATTGCCTCTTTAAATCGGTACCACTACATTATATAGGCTATAAGTGAAAAGAAGCCTACTGATACTTCAATTAGTACATGATGTAATGATACCATCTTTTTGCTGTACAGTTCAAGTCGGTGCACTTGTTCTGCTGTTTGACTGTTCAATTTCTCATTAAGGCAATTATCTAATCTATTGTCATGAGAGAGCTCTTCGTGCCTTGGATGTGCATCCCACAAATCTCCATCAACTGCAAGATGCTATCCTGTCAACATGGGCCAACATTTCGAAAGAATGCTAATGATCCTTTTGGTGAGTGTATATTGACTCAGGTCTCGGGATTTTTTTTTAATTTTTTTTTTTTAGATCAGATAGTTACTTGCCCTGTCAGTACATTTACCAGCCCAAGTGTCGTTAAAAAATTATTGCGAAATGACAGTTTCCATTAATCGGTTATGCAACTAAAACGTAATTTTTTCCTCTCGCAACAAGTCATTAAAAAAAATCATGGCAACAGAGGTTGGTTGGTTTACGTAAATCCCATTATTTTAAAGATGAGATGTAGGCATGTTATCTAAGCATTATGAGGTGTTTTATCTGTTTTAAGGTCTTGATAAATTGTTAAATTTCTTTGTAATAATCCAGTATTCCTGTAATAATTTGTCTTTTATGAGTTTAATAAAGACCTCTATCTTGTCTACTGTCCAAACATACCGCGTCATCTTTAAAGAGTGATCAACATTTACGTACACTGTTGACCTGTAAATGCATGAAAAAACAGTTTCCAGCCGTTTTGCGAAATATTCCTTTTCCGATTTTTTTTTTTTTCTTTGACGAAAGATATTATTTCTGATATCATTCCGAAAATATTCCTTTACCGAAAAACCACCTCATGCGAGCGTAAAAACTGAGTTTCACCTCATGCGAGCGTAAAAACTGATGGGAGTTTTTGCTAAATTTACGTGTTTCTATTGAGCGTTTTCAATTTGCGCAATTTAAAGGGTAATGGAAACGCGGTTATTGTTTTGAGCTATGTAATCTTCCGATACCAACATTTAAAAAAATCCTAAATTCCAATTTACGATATCACAGAAAAACGAACTAAAGTTTAAGTAAACGGTCAATAATAAGAACCAATAAGTAACAAGCACAAATAAATACAAGAGAACAAAGATACAACCAAGTACCCTACTTTCCAGTGCGTATTTGTGGAAACTATTATGAAGTAAATGAAGAGTTCAGATGCAAAAGCCTCTAAATGCCATTTGAAATTTTCTTCTTTAATGATGATTTTTATCAAACTTGTATATTTAAGTTCAGTAATTTCACTTAAATGGCAATGATAATTACCTATTAATTGTTATTTAAGTGAAATTACTGAACTTAAATATACAATTTTGATAAAAATCATCATTAAAGAAGAAATTTTCAAATGGCATTTAGAGGCTTTTGCATCTGAACTCTTCAAATATACACTCTAAAAAATGCTGGGTTGTTTTAACCCATTTTTGGGTCAAATATATAAGTCATTTGGTTACATTTTTAAATTGCATTTTTAACCCAATGTTTGAGTTTGTCCATATTTGACCCAAAATTGGGTTAATACAACCCAGCATTTTTTAAAGCTAGAAGTAAAGACAAATTGAATTTGAATTTATTGACAGGATAGCCCCTTGAGATGCAACATCTCATTTTCAATGAGGTCCTAAAAACATAAGTAATTTCCAACACAGACAACATAAAACACAACAACATTACAAAACAAGACTACAAAAAAAAAAAGCTCAACCTGCTTCTCACAGTTTTGTGGGCTTCTACACCCAACATAGTTTCAGTAGTTTCATTACAGAATTACAGAAAGAGCAGTGAGGTTGTCTCTTTTTTTGTTGTTGTTTGATTAACATCATAAATATAGGAAACAGAAGGTAAGAATATGAGGCTGTCACTTACCTAAATGCACAGATCTGTTATATTGACAGATTCTTAAATGTTTACGTTCCTTAAGACAAATTTATGTCACAAATTTATGTCACATAACCATCTGTGTTTACATGGATACTAGTCAAGATGAGAATCTTTCACACGATAATTTTGCGTATGTTTATTTTTGCTCAAGAACCACAGCTTACGCTTAAATTGCTATAAAAATCACTTGAATGTTTAAACTGAAAAGACTTGAACACATGAAAATTATAAACTTTATTGAGGAAGCAGGGTGGCCGATCCATCAGATAGGCCATTATAATTTTAAGAGTGCTGAGACAAACAAAACTGAACTCTTGGCTTTTTCATCCAGCCTTTAAGCTATTTTCCCCTTCACTAAATAATAATAATGAAGTCTTTGTGTGGTATATGTGTGGCAGAATTGTAATTCCTGTGTGCTTGTGGATCACAGGGGAGAAGGAGAAGCATATCATAAATGTGACAGAACTTAAACATTTTTCTTTTTTACTTAGAATAATTCTGATTAGTCAACAGGAACATATCTATGCTATATTATAATATGAAACATGACTTGATGGAAAGCCACCATCTTTTTTATGTCATATACAGGGAAGAATAGGCATTCATTCCCAGTGTGTTAGTTTATTGTATTCATGCAACACATTGCAATGGATTTCATCAGATAAATGCAACATTTTTGAAGTCTAGAAAGCAACCATAAATGTTTGCCTTGGCGATGTGGCACGTTTTATGCATCACTGAGGATTTTGTATCAGTTAATGGAGTATAACTGCAGTCAGGTGTAGAAAATTATGGGTTTTAACAGGCGTGCAGATGTCTTTTAATACTGCGTGCAAATGAATTGATGTTGTATTGGTGTATTTTTAGCTGAATATGTCCATGTAGTTGAATCA